CCAGTGTTGGGCTTTACATGCTCTACAAAATGCAAAAAAGAATGGGTCTCTAGCATTAACGGTTCCCGAATTAGAGACAGTTTTCAGTTTCGGTATCTTATGGCCGCTACTCCTGTGAAAATGCACCGATTGACCCCAAATTCACGGAGATGAAAGATGACCTGAAGGGTAACACTTTCCAATAATATTATTGGTTAAGTCTGTGTGGTGTCTGAATAACAGGGCAAAAAATTTTTTTTTCGTAAAAAATTTCATTTTTTTGAAAATTTTGGCCCATTTGACCTTGAAGTAAAGGTCAAAGGTCAAATCCGAGGGTATATTTGAAATCTACACATATGACTTTTGGAAAGCCGTCTGTAGAAATTTTTCCCGTAACTCCTTCCGTAGGGTAGATAATTAGCATTTAATTTTGCCATTTTTGGACAAGGGTGCATTGCAATGAGTGCCACACCCAGACCCCAATACCGACAAAGCCCAAATTTTACGTGGAACGAGTTGAGATTATAGGTGACCTAAATCCATGAGATGGGTATGGGGGGCCTTACCGTCTAGGAGGAGAAGCGGTAACGGTAGCCGTCCGGCGGAGCCGGCGGAGCCGGCGGAGCCGGCGGAACGATCCGGACGAGACCGAAACCATGTGTACCGCCAGCGCTAACGCTGGTGGTACAATGAACTAATGCATACTGATCCAGGATCATAACAGATTACAATATTTGGTCCCAAGGTCAAACATTCAACTGAAATTATATTGTGAAAAGGGATCGATTTAGATGTAGAAGTGTGTTAGATGAGACAAGAGTGACACATTCTGTTGGCACCCATTACTTACATTGATGCGACAGCCAGTGCCCGCCTTGGCATAGTTGGAGAACCCTCACTAATGTTACCCAGGGATAACCTGTTAGGAAGTTAGTGCAGTGCAGAGTTAAAATGGGATTAAGAGGCATGTTGCATTATAAATAAATGAGGTTATGATCTTACTTGGATAGCCATATGTAACAAGCCATAAAATGTCTAGTTTGATCATGCAGATTACTTTGGGTTAAGTTATTAGCAATGCCTTTAAAGAAAAGTTTTATTACAGTAACACAGGCAATATGTTGTTTTGCCCACATGAAATTTTAATTGTGAAATATCATTTTGCATTATGTTAATTTTGCAAATGCAAATAAAATTTAAGGCTTCATATATAATTATTTATTGATTATATAGCTGTGAAAGAAAAAAAATCTGCCCCTGCTCCTTTAAAGCTCCCCATGCAAAAATTTGTCTTATTTAACAATCACTTACGATTCTCAATCTGTCCTAGAACATAATGTTTTTCTCTTTTAGTGACAAATGTTCTTAATGTGTTCTAGGACATTCTGAAGGACTTCTTAAAACATTTCTCAAACGGTTTTTTTCATTACAGAACAACATTAGAACTGTAAAAAAATACACCAAATGTTTTAGAATAGATTGAGAAGTAAACATTAAATGAGACAAATTTTCGCAGGGGTTTGATGGAATCTTGCATTTTCAAGCTATCTATGACGGATGAAAAAGCTAACTGTCACATGAAAACATCTTTTAAAGAATATCTACAAATATCTGCAGATATAAAACACTTAAATGTCAGTTTTATTTAAAAGGGCATATAGGTTTTAAAGGATAAAAATATTAACATTGGAGGCTGCCTTGAGAAAAAAATTCTTTGTTTACAGTTGTTGTGTTGTTTACTGTTAGCCTGATTGGATGGAATCAACTTGCTTTCAGAAAACAATTTCATAGTGCCAGTCTATCAGTTATTAAAGTGCTCATCTTTGAATTGATAAATCATGCTAGATTCCATGTAAGACAAGGTGAATTATGTGTTTGTTTAAGCCATGCTGAAAGTTTAAATGCAGGAAAATTCTCACTCTGTAAAGCCTCTGCTGCAAATTAGATTAATAGATAATAAGTTATATGTGAAGCGAATATTTCACCTAGTGCTACAAACTCTCATAGTCTAAACTTCCAAATAAAATCTTGATTATCAAAATCTGTTATTCACTTTAGTATGGAAAACAGGTAAAAAAGGTAGCACCACTTTTCTCGAGCCAAGACCAGGCCTTAATAGTATTTTGGTGTTAAAATGTACCTTGGTTGACTGTGAAACTTGACTTTGTCTATTCTTTTTCTTGGTGGGTCAACTGCAAAAATGAAAATATCACAAAATATATAAAAACAAACATTTAGTGCTTACTAACTATGATTTGGTACAAACCAATTAAAGCTAGTACACTACATCAGAAAAAAAATTTCAATGTTTTTGCAGATAACTTTACTGAGCCTTTTAACTGTCAACTAATACCTGCAGTAGATTTCTTTTTTATTTCATCATCATCTTCAAAACTAGGATTCCGAAGTTTTCTGTCTAACAGTAGGAAGTAGATCACTTTTTCTGTATTGTGTCTGAAATAAATAATTTGTTATAATTAGTTATTCAAATCTGTATAAAAGATGATAGTGTTCTAGATCAGCAGAGTTTTTAAGAATTGTATTAATTTAAAGACAAACCTCAGTGAGAACTTTGAATTCTAAAACATTAAACAACTCAATTTTCTTGTAACTCATCAAAATTAAATAAAATGGGCCCACCATTTTAAAATTAAAGAGTTACTTATTTTTTTCTGTCAACTCCAACTCACTGTGGACTAAAAAGCTCCCGCATCAGTCTTGGCTTGTCTTTAAAACACTGTAATGAGGTCATGGTGGCCAAAACATCTGGGTCAATGTCATCTTCTGATGGAATCACTGCCGTCTGAATTCACAAAATTTCAAAGCTTAAGTTATTTCTCTAAAAATTATGTACTATATTCTGAGCAGGTGCTTTTAATATACTGAAAAGATGAAAAAGAAGATTAACTTGCCAGTTACAAATAGCATCAAGAACTATTATTTTTCTTTAATATTAACTTTTTACCCTTTACAGTTGAATGAACTTTACAGAGCACCTGTCATAAAAAGTGTCTTTAATTTTTTAGAAAGCTGTATCTTTTTCAATATTAAGAAACAGAGACAATGTGAAGTCATTACACATGCAGGTACTAAGGCAACTCAAGTACATTAAAGTGATTGCACATAAAAAGCAAACGCTCATCTATTTTTTTAACCCCTCAAGTACATCATGCAGAGTCAGATTTCACTTGGCTGACACATTTGAACTCTACTTAGCATTTGGCATTGTCACAGCATTATTAAAAAACTGACAAAAAAGGACAGTCTTCTTGTTTAATACTGGGATGACTTACAGACACTCAGACTATTTATCAATTATCAAAAATCAATCAAAAGCTGGGGTTCAACTTACATTTGCAAACACATTTTTTTTAAAATCACATCTCTTATTTGATTATTAACTTGAAAAAAAAAAAGACAAAATCATTGAGGAAATTTATAGTTAAAGTGTCATGCGCTTCAAGAAATCTATCTTCAAATCATGTCACACTCAAACCCAATAATGACAGATGCAGATATACTCTATGAAAGTAAAAAAAGTTTATAGCTGCAAATTACAAAATATTAAATAGTAACAAAATGGCAAAATTAACTTAATAATATTGGGAGAGCTGACAGACACAAACTTCAAAGGATAAACTTAGAATGAATGTAAAACCTGTGCATGGGACATGATGTTTTTACATGAAAGGTAAAACTACTCTCAGAAAGAATTTAAGATTCATTTTTTAAACTGAAAAACATGAAAAATAAATTTTGGCTAATGAATATCATTAAGGCAAAATTATATTTCTTTAATATTTTTGGATCACATGAATACTGACAAAACAAAATGAAAAAGTCAATTACACTGCATCAACAGGGTGGATATAACAAAACAATCCACAGAGGCACATGGTCTTAGCCAAATTAAAATCTATGTCTCTTTGAAAATAATAAAAATAATGAAAAAAAAACAGAAAAAAAAAATGAAAATACATTGAAGGGAAACATCTTGATAACCAGAAGGGCTGGTTCTATTAGTCTACCTGCACAACCATTGCCATGGGCAATTCTATTTCTATGTCTGACTCAGTGTCCCTACAAAATAACAACATCAACAACAACTGGGTAAGTATTAACTTCAACCGATACGAATGTGAACTATACAATAACTAACTTAAACTTTCCTGGACAGTGTATGAGTAAAATTGAACCACTCGGTACATTGTGGGTAAAGTTAGTAATATAGTGTTGTGCAGCATTACAGACCATACTTGCATTTGTCAGAACATCAAAAAGGTCCTCTGATTTTCATAACCTGAGAATCATGTTCTAAATTAACAGCTTTACATGACATATTACAGCTCACTATGAAAAAAAGTTAACAGGGAGATCCTTAGTTTCCATTATTGCCTTGGCAGTTGTCAAAGAGAATGGTTATTTTCACCAGTAATTTTGTGAGATTTTAATCTTATTTGATGTTCTTTCTGCTGCAAGTTCATGTTAATGTGTACTTAGTTAAACAGTGAGAGAACCTTGTTTGTGTTACATACAGTATAGCCTTTATGTAAAGAAAAACAATTTCATATGCAACAATTACCCTTGAGATGATTTTTGCAAAGTGAGGATTCAAATGAGAAAGTCTAAAGAATTTAATTTTAGCTTATATCTGAATACATGCCAGTACTGCATTGCTTTAAAATTTACCACAAACATAAATTCTCAGCACTGCATAAAACACAAATAATATAATACAACGGTAATGGTACAGACAACACTGAAAACCAATATTAAGTAAAATGGCACTATTATGGTGTTAAGGCAATACAGTGACAGTATACACAGTGCATTCAGAGTAGGGCTTCAAGTACCTGCACCACTTCCTTCATCGGAAGTTCCAGCTCTACATCTGATTTAGAACCCCTACAATTACAATATATATCACACACTGGCTGCAACTACTATCAGGCGAAACCTAGGCAAGCACTGCCATTGGAATTTAGTTTAACTGAATACTGGAGCAAGTTGACACAGCATCCCCCCCCCCCTCCCACCTTTTCAAAGGTGTTTGGAATAAACAGAAACCATAAGAATAACAATGCTTTTTGCATCCATCACATCAGTTTTCTTTTATATTCAATTTCAATTGCAGATTCATTTTAATATTCTGGTAAATGAACGTGTCATGCTTCTAAATACATTTCACCAAGTTTTCAAGACAAATATTTAGTTCTGAAATACGATATCACTGATGATAGTTATCAAATTTTGATGTGACGTTTGCAAAGATATAAACTTTGTAATAAATCACTAGGAAGCTGTTGTTGTATTAAGCATTCAATAACACTTGCTGATGAACACTAATGTTTTAAAGAAAATCAAACATTATTAGTACTAGATTATGTGAAAAATTCTACATGTTTGGTAACTGATATTAGTAAACTTTACAGTATCTTTACCATAATTTGTTTGCAAATACTATAGTGTTGTGCATGAGTAAGTTTATTAGAGATAACAAATATGCTTAAATAAGGTGTTCCTTTAAAAGTCGCCACTAGCAAACTTTTTCTAGAAAACACACACATTATAAGTTGTAATATGCATGTTGTACCACTCCAAGCGTTACAAACTTTGTCTCACTACTTACGCCACCACCCATGGATGCCTTGTGATCTTGTCCAGCTTTAAGTAGAAACAAATATGGAAATAAAAATGTTAACATGAATCAAAATGGTTTAGAGATACACATTTTTTGTAGTTTTAAGACTCACTTTTCAAAAAACAATTATAGATTGTTTAATTCAATATGGCAGCCATATATTTATGATGGCCGCCAGTAAAATCAGTAAACAGCATGGTAACTACAGTTTACGATATATTTATAAACACCATATCGACTTTGTGCCAAAACAATAATCAAAAGTATTTTTGGGAGCATCTTAAGAATAGATAGAAATGTTAAAAATAAGATACTACAGCTCCACTAATTAACCATACTTGTATTCTTTTTACTGGGTCCACATCAATCATACTCCTGAGTAGATGTTGACAATCGGGGGGCACGAAGTGAGGAATGTGAAAGACACCTTTTTTAACCTTTTCTAAAAGATTCCGTAAATTGTCATCATCGAATGGCAAAGCACCCTAAAATTAAACATAACAGAATGTTATTTGATGTACAGAAGCATGTACAATAACAATACAATAAAGTTTATTTCATGTTGGAAAGAATGAAAGTACTAACATAAGCTGAATAGCTATTCACATGTATACCGTGTGTGTTTGTGTGTGTGTGTGTGTGTGTGTGCGTGTGTGTGTGTGTGTGTGTGTGTGTGTGTGTGTGTGTGTGTGTGTGTTGCTGAATATAAGACAACAGTACTATATAAGAATTTCTGCAGTATGCATATGAAGCACTTATGAAAAACTAACATAATCATATAAAATGGACTGGTTAAAAATGATATCAGTGCTACATACCACTAAAAGTGCATAAAGTATCACACCACAGCTCCATACATCTGCCCTTCTTCCATCATATTTTTCACCCTGAAATGAGCAAATATCATTATTAACACCTGAACTTACTTTTAAAACCTAGATAAATATTTATGAAATATCAGCAATTATTTAACTGGTTTTCTTCACTGCCCTTCCAATTTGATGTGTGTGTGTGTGATAGAGAGAGAGAGAGATACAGGGTTATTTCTTACAGCTTACTCTATGCACCACATTCTGAGATAATCATATTTGACAATGTTAAAATGTCCCCACTGTGCAAAAATAATTTGATTAAGCGTATTCCATATATTTCTGATGCGCTACCTTCCATTAAATTTTCCTTCAAAGATAGACTAGCAAACCATGTTAGAGATAAGTGATCATATCTGACTTCTGTTTATAGGATCTAATATGGTTATTTACTACATTACAGGGTTAATAACATAAATTTTCTGCCACAATGTTTATTGCACCAAAACACTGAAAACAAGGAAGTACTTAAAATTTGCCTTTCATTAGAAACTACATAAGTGAAAGGTCATTTCTTCTAAAGCTAATAACTTAACATAATCAATATTTTGTATTAAAGCAGATAAAGCTCTGTTAAAACAAAGAGTTATCTTGGTTTAACTCCTTTAGACATAACATATTGTTATGATGTTTTATCTTTCAAGTCAGCAGCATGATATGTTTCCTGGCAACAAGTTTGCACATTTTCTCAAAAGGCTGTAACCTTATAAAAATTTCAACTAGAATAGGGCATTTGATATTCCAACTTTGATAAATATGCTAGATCATATTAAGCACTGTGCAGTACTGAAAATAAGATAAAGTCCAGACAGACCATGGAATGGTAAAGCTACAAAGAAAATCTACTGAAGAATAAAAGACAATTAGACCAAAAGAGCACATTACTTTGTATCCCATACAGCAACGTTACATTTACCAATTTTTTTCACCAATCTTGATAATGGACTGCACACAGAAGTATTTAAAAAGCCTTGTCAGTCTCATATTTGTATTGATGCTTAAAATAAACACTTCTTAATGTGATGTTACAAAAGTGACACTGAAAAAAAAATTTTCAGCCCAAAAGACATTCCAAAAGACATACCTGTATGTACTGTGTTATCACATTTCTTTCTCAATTAATGATATTAAACACAATAGTAATAGACTAAAAGGAAAACAGCAGATTGAAGTTGCTCTCGCTAAACTGCACTTTCAAGAAAAAAATCTATGATCTTTGTCTAATACAATGTTCATGTGTATATAATATACAATCTAAAACATCAATAACTGAAATAAAGGGGAAATATGAGGTAAAAGTGTTGTTTGCCAGGATGAACTACAGTTAAAACTTGACAACGAGATTCGTCAATCTTATAAACAATAAAGTAGCAGTTCGCCAAAGAAAGTTTTACATTTCACAAAAAGAATGACAAAGAACAATAAAATTACAAATGAAAACTGAAAGAAGAGACATTGACTTAACCCTATATATGAATTAAATCAGTAGAAAGAGCTCATTAAAGCCAAATGTGCATTTAATATGCATAAACTCCTATTTGTTCCAGCAAGAAGAATCCAATTATTGTTTTACCTTGTTGTTATTAATGAAAAGAATTCCATGAAATTTTGTTCCAAAAATAAACAAGCGAAATTATCTAAAGAATCGTCCTTAAGACATTATATTGAAAATGCCAAGTTATCTGGAAAATTGCTATTGAAAACAGATGACAATATAACACCACCATAATGGTACAAAGAACACCATAGCAATTATCAATAAATTGGAATAAATTCTTCCTGGAACAATTCAAATGGAGTATAAATAACAATAAATAAGAGATAAATAATAAGAGATTAAACATGCAGCAAATGTTACAACATGCATGCACATGTAGCAGCGTAGACAGTGAGAAGTGTACGCTCTTACCCTTATCACCTCAGGACAAGCATAGTGTGGAGACCTGGAGAGACGCAAGGCAAAGTTTTCTTATCGTCTAAAACTACAAGAGGCCTGTACACTATGGCCCACGTGTTAAAGATGGCTTCATGGGGGGGAATCATACAGTATTAACAAGGCACTACATTGGATTATGTACTTTATATATTAGTAATAATGTGATAGTAAACTAAAAGCCACTGCAGGCAGCTAGAGCCTCTAACAAAAGTGATAGTCATCTTAATTGTTTAAAGAATCCAGTCTGATTGATGTTGCTTTACAAACAAGCTGAGTAACTGATGTCTGACTACATAATTGCTGTATCGTTTTAAAGGTGTATTATATACCTATGACAAAAAGAACAAATAAAATCCACGACATTCTGTTTCATTGACAAGACCTGGTGATTTCTTGAGTGGATGATTAAACCACAATTTGTGATGATCAATCCATTTGGAAGAATTCCCAATTCATTATTTTCAGTATACTTCCCTATTTTTCTTTTCTCAGAAAATGGTTGAGTGTAATAGCTGAATTACACTCAAAGCGTTTTCTGTAATAAAACTAAGGAAAGATAATCATTTTCTTTTACCATTTAAACCAAATAAACCAAAGTGACTTCCAACAAACATATTTTCGATAATGGTAATTAGTTTTAACTTACTATTAAGCAATAAAAGTCTGAATATCTTTTTGGTATGCAGACTAGTTACTTACCCACAGCTTGTTTCCAACATGGAGCCTTCTACTTGTAACGAAGCCATCCCAAAATCTGCCACACGGATATTATTTTTATCATCGAGTAAAAGGTTTTCAGGTTTTAAGTCTCTGTGACTGAAAAGTAATATCTTATATTATACCAATAATACAGGGAATACCATGTAACCTACAAAAATGTACAAAGAAAAGACATAACTGGAAAAGAGATGGAACAGACAAAGGCAATAATGAATTCAAGCTTGCAATAAGAATGTCAAATATACAATGCTACAAAGAAACAATATACAATTCAGTCATTCTCTTGAGACTGTAACCTTTTCATTAGTGAAATTACTGAGAACTAAAGCTTGTGAAAAACTTTTCGATTCACCAGAGACAATAAGTTTTTCAACTGAAGAAATTTTGTCTACATCTGATAGCCTCACAGAAAGCAAAATAGACTCATATAGTATGCAGCTGTGTGTTAATTGGTTCATATTTTATTTTAGTCAATATCATCTGAGATAGCAAACTGACAAAAATAAATAAACAAATTACTGCTTATGATACAAATCACTCACCATATTGAATGACTATGACAGAAATCTAATGCAGATATAATTTGACGGAAGAATTTTCTTGCCTCTTTGGGTGTCAACCTGCCCTTTTTTACCAAGTAATCAAATAACTCTCCACCAGAAACATGCTCCAGGATTAAATATCTGAAAGAAAAGAAATGCAATGAGTAAACTCATTTATTCTACCATTTTAATGGCAAAATTGAATCCAAAGCTAAAATTGGACATATGGACAATAAAACTTTTCAACCCATATGAAAAAGTACTATAGGATACTTTAAGATCCTATAGGATCCTATATAGGAAATTGGGCCAATTTCCTATAGAATCCTATATGATCATATAGGATCCTATAGGACTTTTTCGTAAGGGCAAAGAAAACAAAAATATCAAAATCAATAAATTAAATATCAAGTCATGATATCGCAAAACTTGGGATGTATATGACCTGAAGTAAGTGTAATGTTATAGCATGTTTACATGTTTTTTTAAACCAAATAACCTGTCTAAGGGAAAGCATGACCTTCTATCATATCTCATGCAGGTAAAAAATTAGCAATAAATAAACCCACACAACTGCAAGTAGAATTAAAATATTGTTGTTTCTTTATTGTTGTCAGTGCAGAGAGCAGAACCTACCAGCAGAAAACCATAAAACAAAGGAACATGCGAGAGACTGTCACGTCATCAGTATCATTTATGGGAATTAAATCTGTAAAAACAGTCTCTGGCCATTTATCTACAAAAGCAGGGGTTACTTGGTAGAAAGCAAAAGATCAATTCTTGATTACAGGCATGATTACTCTCTAACCATGCAGTTACTTTGCAGCATAAAAGTGGCTGCTAAAGAGGCCGTAATAACATAAAAAATGACAGGATATGCTCAGAATCATTTTGAGTCCAATTCTTGGTGCCAATTGGGGACATGCCGTATTATAGGACTATCAATTGTTTAATACATGGACTGAAGCCTACTGTACATGTGTACCAAACCTTCTCATGCCAGGAGCTTATTATCCTCATCAGATTGCTGACAGACAGCCATCTTTTCAAACAACCCTCTATTAAATCTTTTCATCTAATAAAAAACAGTCCACCAAATATCCATGCTTTAATGACCATGACCTGTCTTATATCAATTAACAACAGTAAGAGAACACTTGGAAATACAAAAAATATATTATAAGAATCAAAACTACTGGTGAAAGCAAAGTCACAGAAATTCGTTTCAGACATATTTTATTCTTATACAGTTATCCTGAGGTGATTCTGCTTCACACTGTCCAAGGTGTCCAGGTTGGACAATTTTCGTACTGTCTAGTTTCCTGGGGTCCTGGTACAGTATGACAGCTGATATTATTACTACATATAGAGATACATCATTATTTGACAGGGGCGTAACCAGACCTTCAAAAATTGTACGCACAGATTTTTAAAATTCCCAGCAAAATGTAGACTAACGCAACAGATGAAGGACAGCGTAATCACAGCATATGTACCACACATCGCAGCTTTATTTTCCATTAATAATAAAATCATCATTTAGTCAGAAATATTCTCGCAATTAAAAAAAGTTTCAATATTCTTATTACCCAGAACGGTATATTTATTTAAAAGGAGGCTAGCTTCGCATATGTGGAACCCCCTTCGAATAATCCTGGATCCACCTCTGAGTTGAACTAACATACGGTTTCATTCACCTTACAGTTTAATTATTTGTTTGTAAAAATTGCCCATGTCACCCTGTTAGTTTGGAGGGGTTATAAGCTGGATCAAGTCCGTGTCAAAATTCTTTGAAGTTTTGCGGGAAAAATTCTTCCTTTGTTTCTCTAGCTCCTTATTAAGCCTGGTGTCCAGATTTTATCTAGTGCCCCCAGGGTTGCGGGAGCTGCTCTTTGAAAATAACACTCAGGCAGATTTTTACCCGAGATAAATATCGCCACCAAGAATGCGTTCGATATTCTCAAGAAAGAGGCTACAGGAGAGTTGAGGGCCACTGAACCCTCCAATTAAGAGGTAAAGGAAGTTCCAGTTAGATGGACGATTAAGATAGGACTTGTTAAGGTTACAGGCATTGTTTACCTCAGTTCAATAAAAGAATGCAAGACAGGGGGGGTCAGAACAATTGTGCCTATACAATTGATACACAGGATTTGTACATACAGGTGACTTTAATAAGCAGGGGATTTTCTTTTATATTCCGTGAAAAATACACTAAATTTATATTAAATAATATCATGGTTGGCCAAAAAATTGTACGCACAGTGCATCCGTGCGTATGCCTAGTTACGCCCATGTTTGATGAAGAAATAAAAAAATATAAATGTTTGTGCGTGTGTTTATGCACACACAGAAAACCTCTTATACAACATATACACTCTGAGGATTATGCACTGGTAAATGGGAATACACTCCCAACTGATGTCCATGTTCTCTGCCCAGCAGTTAGTCCTTTTCAGCGATCTGGCTGAAAATAAAATCCCTTTTGGCATATTATACTCTTAACCTCTTTTTTAAAATTAAAATTCATCATATCTTATACTAGTATATTCGGACACCTCTTTAAAATTAAGATGCATCAAATCAAATCTTAAAGATGAACAGTAACATCAAACACACATAAACATTTTTTTCACACACAGGATAACTTGTCACACAGTAAAATAACATTTCAACATATCTTTATCAATCAATGGCCATAAAACACTTACAATAGTCCTTGACACAAGTTGAAAAATGAAACTTCAATGAAACCCCCTTGCTCCAATGACACGCTTATTTCTGAAAATGGCATCTGAAAAATCACTTTCATTTCCTATTAATCCAAGACAGCCAGCAGGGGACCTAATTATCCTGCTACAAGACATGAGGAATAGTAAGAGAAGAGAAGAAGGCTGTGCTACTATACCTGCCTTGTAGCCATGGTATTGACAAGTCATCCGGGGGCAGCATTAGTAAAGGCAAGTCTTGATCTTAGCTAACTAGCACACTGAGAACCTACCCACCAACTGAAGTTTTTTTTTTTACTAGAAACATACTCAGGAACAAATTTTATTTTGTGAATCTACGGGGCAGTTTTAAATGAAACATAATCTTGAAGTTAAATTTTACATCATTAAAAAAATGGAATAAAACAAAACATTAAATACTCAGAGCAAAAGTTATTTCCAACTAATAATCTTCTAAAATAATCTTCATTATCAATCATAAATGGGCCAATCAATCCCAATCATCTCCAAAAGAATTACACTTTCCTAACGTTATTAACATCAGAAATACATATATTTTGGTGATATAAAACATTAATGTGAAACAAATAAAAGTTCACACTCCACATCCTCAGCTAAAATCACTACAGGACCAATAGGCCTCCTTCATGGATACACAAATCCCATTTCTAGTTTTCTTTACTGACCTCACTGTCAGTAATCTACAATTCCTACAGAGAATGCAGAGGCACCAAGGCTGTTGGCCCCTTAATCTGCAAGATATTGATCATGCTGCAGCATTCCAAGCTCTCTGCCACTACGTTTCAGAAAGTCAAATAACACCAGATAACTCTTTGATTCAAGCTGTAGAAATCATTCCATCACAGTACCTATAAAATGCATGTCAATCACCTACAATAACCATGTGAAAAGTTGTACTTGATAAATCCTTTTGTTCAAAACAAAACAGCATGCTTTTTTGGCCAATTCACCAGTTATGTTTCATAAACGTATTCATCTATATAAAAAGGTAATGGTTTCTTTTTAAACAACATGAATATAAATTTGGATTTTGATACCTTAGAAGGGTGTACAATTAACATTTGCATATGCTATATCATGATGAAAGTAAAAGGGAGAGACACTATCAAGAGTCTGACATATAAATAAGTGCATTAAAACAAAAATGACTGTGCAGAAAAATTGCTTGTTGTTGCCTTATGTCCAACATTTAGAAAGAGGTGTATTTATTTTAATAATCACTGCAGCATGTTCCATAAGCCCACTCTAAAAATAGATCAATAAAAAATACAGACACCACTAATAGAAATGAATGATTAACATTAATGTAGAAAAATCGATGCTTTCTAATGACTCATAACAATGGCACTGCAGTGCACAAAAGTGGGTCAACTTCACAGAGCGTCAGGGCTAGGCCCAAGTGAAAGAGGACGAGGGACTGGACACTAATTTAATTTCTTCGGATTAATTTTGTATGAACAATGACCAATATCCAACTACAAAAATGCTCTTAAGATGCAATGAAAATCCAAATATGTTTTTGTAATGGATTACACTAACATTAGAAAGTGGGGATATTCACACGCATTGTACCCATGATATTTGAGAGGATGAGGTAAAAGGCAGAATCTATGAAAAGAAAAGTAAAAGAAACACATACTTTCTTATCCACGTGTGCAAGTGTGCAACGTACATCTCTTGAGAACATTTTTGTGTAACTCGATCATCATATGATGGGCTTGTCTCAAGTAAATGGAATGGAACAAAAATATCTGATACTAAATACACATTGATATGAGCATCTTATGTGAAGTTCAGTACATCAAGACTGCTAAATGGGGAAAGTGAACCTTGAAACCCAAACCAAACTGAGCGGAAAAAACTGATAGCATGAATGTCAGGGGGAAAACTAACAATAAACTAAATTAAGATTTGAGGGTAAATGCCAATGCCCTTATAAATGCTTAAATATAAATTTATACATATATGTATATTTTTTTCTTGGACTGGTGAGAAATCTCTGAATTACAACATTTTTCTCCTTACTTATTTCATATCTATCAAAAATCATGTATTGACTTATATCAATACCCTCTTACTGAACACTGCATGTTACTGAGATAAAAGTTGTCAAAATAAAAATGGACTCCAATCATGTATGTGGTGAACAAGCAATGCAATATCTCAGTTTGTGTACTGCAAATAACTCCAGGCACAGAAATGCTATCAGAACTGCATTTTGCCAGAAGGTTACGCAATGGAGCTACAGTATCTGTTAAGAAACATAATTAGTTTAAGTACTAGGCCATTGTCAAGCTTTATCCAAGATTTTTATGGTGATAACAGTAGCTTTTTCCCTTGTATGAAAAGCCATGAAATGTTAATTTGCTCAGGTCTATGTATTTGTTTGATCACGTTAACACTTCCCTGGAATTGAGCATGCCATGTATGGACAAAGTCAAATGTATCATTTTAATAATAATAATAATAATAATCCTGCATTACAGTGACATAAAATTTAAGTCTTATGAATAAAGAAAAACAAGGGGAAAGAATAAATCATCGAAAAATATGCTACTTACAAATATTTCTTATTTTCATAGACATCAAACAGGCCCAATACATGGGGATGCTCTATTAGCTTCATTATTGCAATTTCTCTTTCCACCTGCAAAACAAGAACACATATAATTAAGGTCATTAAGAAATGATTCTTGATATTAACCAAACTATTATGCTATTTAAAAACCATATTAATTTCACATAGAAAGTAACAGGCTGGACAAAAGTATTAACCTGAAACATTCTGGAACATTCAATAAAACATTGATCGTAAAAAATTTATGAGACAGTGAAAACACTACAGATCTCATATGTAAGAAAATGTGAAAATTTTATCTTTTTACTCTTTCTTTCTATTTTAATGTAGTTTTTAGAGAGACAGTAAAAAAATTTTGCAAACTCTTGCAACTGATTTGTTGTGATGCTAACTATTGATGTCACAGTCTAGGTTCTTATAAAAGCAAAGGCAAAAAAAAAAAAAAAAAAAAAAAAAAAAGTAAAAGAAGCTGAAAAAATTTAGAAAAAAAGTGTCAGAAAGCTAAAACCACCAATCCAAGATAGGCCTATTTCTTGCGACTTAACATATTTAATCAAGCCAGATTTTGCAGGGTTAAGAAGAGAGTGGAATAAAAAATATGGCAGATTAGTGAGTGGCAATGAATAAAAGCTTTCAAAAATACAGATGGATGTCTTTTTCTAGTTGTTTATAGTTTTGTAGTATTACATTTTTTCACAACAGTATATATGCACCAGATTCTGCATGTTACTATGTAAGACAACATTCCTGGTTCATAGTTTCACCCATATTGCTATACGTACTCGTACACGTTTTTCTGGATTTGTATGACATCAGTGCAGATGGCCTCATTTTAGGATATTTCCATTAAACAGTATGCATGACTGTTTAGTGCATGAGGACAGTGCAGCTTCAAGGATACAATGCAGCAGCAGTGTCAATTATTGCCAGTCACATATTTTCCCAGTGTATAAAATCAATAGTTCCACAAGGGGGTGATTAGTAACTTTACTTTTCTTTTAACTGAAGACAAATCTCTTTCAAAACTCACTTGTTCCCTACAGACAAAAATAATTAACTTTTTACAAAAGCAGGTCCACGTGTCATATTACATTGCTGCGAGACTGAAATTAAATCCAAACATCAAATACTTGTACTGACAGATGATGGTTGATGAATAACCAGAAAGCGAGTTGTTCAGCAATTAACAATTAAGAACCATATCTTAATTACCGTTTATATCTGAAGAATGACCTGATTATAATTAATTAGATCTGATAAAGAAATATATATACTAGAACAATAACAATGAAGTGATTAATTTTTTCAGTAGATTTTTGTCAATTTACAATGAATGTGTGTACTTCATACAAGACACAAAAAAGTAACTGGAATAACCACACCATTATTGTTTTAATTCATATCTAAATTATTCAAATCAAAACAATCAAAAAAGTGTGTGTGCCATGATGAAATATCAAGAATATAAAAACCAATATGCAGAGATATTCACCTCTTTCTCATACACATACTAACCTGACATTATAGTAAGAAAATCAATATCTAGCAATAATAACCCTTAGCCTCTCTACATTTAACACTATATACGGACCTCCAATAGCACTGCAGTGCCCACAATATACACCAATATACAAGAACTCATCAATACCCTTAGTATTTACAGTGTGAATATTGCATGATTTGATGTAAAGAATAAAAAGGTTCAATTGCCAGATTATCTCTGCCAACCAACTGATCTCAAGAACTTTGCACACTTCTGATGACAAGATTAGTAGGATAAAAGGGCTGTTGGTAATTTATCAAAGAAATTGGAAATACAATTAAACCGAATCTCTCACAAACCCCTTTTCTGCAGATGAATCTACAAGTAATATACACATTTCCGTAGAAGTACATCTGTAACACTGCAAGGGTCAAATGAGGGACACTGCAAATAAATATCTTTTTTTCATCAGTTTTTTTCATTCTTGGTGATTTGCAGTAACAGAGTTATCCTGAGGTTGAACATTTAATATCAAGAATGCCTTGGCTTGGTGTGAATTAGGATCCACCTTGATAAGAAACTACAGAAACATATTTTGTACCTTTTCTAGATAATGTTATTAAAAGGATAATACTTAAAGAGTTTCCACATCCACCATTTAGTGATACAAATGATACAAAGGTACCATTATTGCCAATAATAATAATAATAATAATAATAATAATAATAATAATAATAAAAGAAAATAGTTGAGATTCATAAAGTTCTGAAACTTTACAGCAATGTCAACAGGGCTCTAATTATCTTAAATCTAAGCATTCCTGCTCTTTATACTTAGTTTTTATGTACAATACTACTTTTATTCTACTCTTGGTACAGGATTCAGATTTCATATATTTTACACATATGGCTGAATAATTTATATGCCCATTGACTGCATCTGTTACCTTGTGGGAGTACATCAGACAATTGATCTAATATGTTACAACATTTGGGTTATAAGACAAGACAATAAGAAACTCCATCCTGTGTAAGCTAAAAATCAGACACAAAAGGTGACTAAAATTTATAGAATTCTTGCCTTGTATGTTCTTAACAACCAACTTCTCTTATTTTTTAAAGGTTACCATTAATTTAGTTGGTATCTAATTAAATTAGGCAAAGACAGCCAATACAGGAAGTTTAGCGTGTCAAGTGTGGAAAAAACTTGGCAGAAACATTTTCAAGGATATAGCTTGTATGTTGAAGGATGTCATAAATGATGTGATCCAAATCATCTTCTGCCTTAGTTTCCAACAACCCACATACTATCACACTTACCTTCATTAGGACTGATTCACTTAATTTTTCCCTGTTAATAATCTTGATGGCCACCTTCTTGCCAGAGACACAGTGAACTCCCTGCTTAACCAACCCTAGAAAAATGTATATAAAAATTAGAAATTACAGTCACTTAATATGTGAAGATAATGCATATTTGTTTTATTTTCCTTTTTGATGATTCATGTCTTGTGCTGATCCCTATATCATATATCCCTATCCATATATATATGGCAAAAAAATGATCTAAGATTCTATTAGGTACCTCAAGCAAAGACTGCAAAAGGGTACTCCTCTCATTTTCATCAATGCCTATATTTGATATGATCTACTTCCAATTAAGATTGCCCCCCCCCCCCCCCAAATAAAACAGTAACAGTAAAATTCATTCATTTTGCAAACTGCAAGTAGTCCGACAGTTAAAATAGTAAATGACATTGGGTAGAATAGACAAACAGAATATTACCAATTCATTCACTATCATCTCCTAGAAAAAGTAGGGCTAACAAATAGTTTTTGATCAAAATCACCCATGTACATTTCAATGGGAATCATCAGAGAAAGCCCAAAGCCATGCAACCCAGCATCAAATCAAGCAAGATTTCATGGGATTTAGAATCTTCTCTCTTGAGAATGGGGTTAGAGATAATCACAGATTAGCAAGTGTGGTGTGACACTGACAGAATCTATCCATGGCTATAGCCATGGATATTTTCTGATTGTTTTCTCTCAAATTTTCTAGATTTATAGTCTTATACATATACTGTAAGTACATATTCATCATGTTTTGCATGTTACTAGCACCTATGTATTGCTTTCTGCATTCCTAGTGAAAAGTTAACACCACTGTTGCGGATTCAGACACATTCTCTAGTCTCTTGGGACATCACCTCGGATGTGTTTCATTACCCCTCCCCCACAAACACACACCTCATCTTTAAAAAAAAAACTCCTTTTCCTGGGCTATTACAATGCTTAAAAAATTTTTAAAACAAGCTCCAATCTTCTTAATGTGAATTTTCTTAATAGATTTTCTCAGTAGCCATACATAAATTCAACCCTATACCTGGTATAAAATAATACTTGTTTTACAACATACATAATAACTCCATTGAGATTAATGGGATTCATTCAACTGCATAAAAAGAACAAATCAATAAATTTGGTTAGTTAAAGCTGCTATGATCAATGATATTCTGCAATGAAAGCACATCAAAATAACATTAGTGGAATACATTTTATATGAAGGCATTTCTCTGGTTTACATTCAAAATCCTGTATAGTTCAAACAACCATCATACACATACTGAAAGAAGTATACTGTAACTGCCAAATGTAATGTATGAAGCAATGAGGGCTGAGATGAAAGTTAACTGAGCCTTATATCTATGCAGATTTCAATCTTTGGGAGGGTCAGTCAAGGCCAATGTAATTATTTATACTGCAGTCAATGCTATTGGGCACTGGTCACTCTCAAGAGTAGGGTCCAGAAAACCAGTCAGAATTGAAATTAGTAGTCTGAAAAATGAAATTTAAGGATAATGGGAAAATAAATGAAACTGTCTACATGCCCAACTGGACTACTGTGTTTGAAAAGTCATCTTTCCACTGTCTTTTTAATGAGATATATAGCAAAGAAAATTATCGGATATCCTATACAACTAAAAGATGTTTGCATACAAATCGTGATGACTAATACTCATTATAATACTCATATCAAATGACACATTCTAAAACTATTAATTTTTTCTCATTTTTATTATGCTAAGTAAGCCCAGTGGGCAATTATCAAACACATTAACATGAATACAACATATACAGTGATTTTAATACTGACAGATGGCCAATTTGTGCTCAATGCATTGTAATAAATTGCAGTCTCAATAATCATATACAACAGGAGAGATTTAATTATGGTCTTCATTCACTTATATGTGCCATTATACCACAAAAGAAAGAATGAACTCTGAAATGTGTAGATTATGGAAATAATCTTAAAGGGCCCAACAGAGTTATAAAGTTAATTTCTTCTGCAGGCATGATTCTTCTTCACCTTGTGAATCTAAATGTAAACTTTGTAGACAAATTGTAGCTGCAAGAAAGGTCTTTCTCTGAATCATTTGCTTTCTTGTGTAAGAAAACATCCTGCAGATCAAATACTCACCAACAAGCCAATGCTTGAAGCATTTTTGTTTGCAAAATATTGGTCATACACAGTTTTACATAATTTGGCCAGCTATAAATGTAATTGGCATATATCTAAATCAGTCATTGTGACTAGTGAGAATAAATACCATTGTAAAAAAAATTGCCAGTTGCTCTTGGTGTTTCACTGAGTCTAAAAAAATGAGGTAAGACATTAGCTTTGAGAAATGCACCTAGGTTCAGAGTGATCAGTCTTAGCTTGAAATGATTTTCAATTCATGTTCTTCCATACCGCTAAATGACACTATGGTATTGAAAAGACGAAGCTATAGTAAGCAAGCGGTAATGATAAATGCCAACAAGCAACCTCCTATAGACAGAAAGTGGCTCATATAACATTTCAGTGCACAAGCAAAAATGGGTTACAGCAGT